TAAACCTTAGGTTTGAATTGTTTCTCTTGTGGTGACTGGGAAGTTGGAGAATAGTTGTGTGCGGATGTGTGTGTGTGTTTGTTCATTTTGACCTCTTTTTTGAACCTTTTTCTAAACATTAACTTAAGATTGTAGGTAGATAAGAAATAGGAAATGTCTTTCTTTGTTCTTTGTATTATTAGGACACTGTTGGGAGCTGTGTTAAAAGCTTGGCGATGGATAGAAAGCAGAGTTCTCTAATACTTTAAAATTTAGGTAGATACTGTATAAATCATTTCTGGAGGTGACATAGTACCCCACTGTAGTACTGTATCTGAGAGGGCTGTTAGATGAAAGTAATCTTTTCTAAACTCAAACTGACATGGGAACAGTTAAGTCTGATTTGTGAGCTACTGAAGTGTCATCTTTTATTCTTCTCAAAGACCTTAACAACTTGAAGGTGAGAACAAAGGGAAGGAAAGAAATGGAGCCTCATTTATTTTTCTTGATGTGGAAATTGATGTTCATCAAACTCTTCTCTCTAATGACTTGCAATGATACAATTGATGGGTCATAAAAATGTTCACTGAGTTTTGACATATTGAGTCACATTTTTATTTTATTTCAGGTAGATTTTGGGATTCAGTTCTCATTTTGTAGATAGGATTGTGTCCCACTGGTGAACAGTGGTGGTATTAATGACCACTCGCTTGTACCACAATTTGCCATAATTCCTGAGATATTTTTCCCACTTTGAGTGTATGAATTGAATTCACATTTAGTTACTACATAACAAGTACTTTTTTCCCCACTAAGGCACAAGAGGGGGAATAAACTCAATTCATATATTCTTCAAAGAATGGAAACATATTCCCAGTGCTGGTGGAACTGTGCAGTGCTTTTAACAGCTTATTTTCTACCCATTTTTCTGTAATGTTTTGCATAGAACATTTGTGACCAAGTGATTCTCAGAAATCTGTTAGGATGTAAGCGTAATACATGTCAAAGTTTCTCCTGGCCATGCCAGGAGGGCAAATATTTCATTTAAGGGTTTCCATGAAGGATAATATAAGAGTTTTGTTTTAACTGAGAATGTGAGCCTCCCTATAATAGGACTCATGCCTTATTCCAAGCATTTGTTCAACTAGTCCTGAAAAGGGAGGTCTTGGTTTTCTTTGTTAGAGGGAATAGTCCTCAGCATGACAAATACCACAATGCATCATGGGAACTGGAAAATTTATTTTTTTGTATATGTGAACAAATAGCAATCTTTTATATACCTCCTGTTTGAGTACTAAGCTTTCATTATTTTTCCTCCTTAAGTCACCTAGAGGAAATCCTGCCTCTGTTCCCAAACTCCACTTTTAACTTGGCCTCTTTCAATAGCTATTTGTTGAGTGCAAGAACATTTTAACTGGTTTCACTGCTTTTCCCACTTGAATATATTTTTCAAGAAACTTAATCTAATCCTGCCATTCTCCAGCTGTAAATCTCCACTGTTCTTTCCAGGCCTACCTCATAACCTCCTATGACCTGCCTTTTTCTCTCCTTGATAGCCAGAGAAGATCATTCCTTTACTTTCTTATTCCCACATCACTAGTTTTCTACTTCTAACATAGCAGTTATTACATTTAATATTGTTAGTCATTTATATTTCTGTCTTTCTCACTTAGATTTTTTTTAAAGATTTATCCATTCATTTATACAAGCACTGGGTACAGTGAGAAGCACGGGAGGGTGACAGAATTCACCAGAGCCAGAGCAGGGAACAGAAAAGGCAGACCAATGAAATACACTGCTGAGGGGAGTAGCAGGCGCGGCAGGAGAGGTCTGTTGTGCCATGTGGGACCTTCGCCAGAGGCCGGGGAATGAACTGGCGCTGCAGAGGCTGGGGGCAGCTTCGCAGCCCAGTGCTCAACCGCTGTGCCACCAAGGGAGGCCCCTCACTTAGATTTTGAACGTATTGAGGACAGAGTGACTGTCCCATTTATCTGTGTCTTTCCAGCACCTAGCACAGTGCCTGGTGTGAAACAGGTGATAACAATTTGCTGAATTGAGTTAAACGAACACACTGGAAATTCCCAGTGAAGTCCTGAACAATTTTACAGGAAACATTAAATTCTATTTATGTGTTATGAATTTGTACCTTTTCAACAACTGCCTTTTACATGGCAATATTTTCTAAGTCCAACTAATATGTGATCCTTTAATAATTCAGTGAGTTCTGTATCTTTTTGCTCTTGATGAGCACAGTTGATTATTTACTGCATGGCAGACTTTGGAAGGTACAACAAAACTATCAGGTAACCCTTTCCTATGCACATTTGGCTCTATTTCTCCTTCCCATTACCTATAAAAATATGAAAGAAATGATTTTGAGCCTGTTCTTCCTTGGTTAAATCATTCTGAAAGGGTATGGTTTGATATGGATGTTTTAAGGTCTGGATCATTCAGAGTTTTAACAAATCCCATAAAAAGAATGGAATGCAAAGAGGCCCACCTACTTGGTTTTCTCCGCTAGAGAGGAAAGTGAACCTACCAAATTAGGCCTCTGTGTTCAGAAAAAATGATCTCTGGTACTTGCTGTAGTTTGCTAAGGGCAAAAATATTTCTCAGACATTTTTGTCTCTGTTTTGAATTCACTTCACCTTTTCACTTTCATCTCCCTTTTTACTCCCTGCTCACTTCTTTTTTTTTTTTAAAGATTGATTTATTTATGCATACAAGAACTGGGGTGTAAGAAATACATTGCTGAGGGGAGCTGCGGGTGAGACAGGAGAGCTCTGCTGCGCCTTGTGGGTCACCTCCCTGGCTGGGGATCGAACTCGCACTGCAGTGGCTGGCGATAGCTTGATAGACCCTGCACCACCAGGGAGGCCCTCCCTGCCCACTTCTTTCAGAGCTTTTTCTGACCTCTTTCACCATGCCCCATTGGCATCTAGGTCTCATAGCTCTTACCCCACCTACAGATACCATCTGTAGGCCGCCTAAAAACCCTACACAAGCTAAGGTATTAGTGGCTATTGTAAATTCTGCATTTTTCACTATGACAAGGATTTCTACCATGAACAAGAATGTAACATTTTCACAGAATAAATTAGCAACAGTCTCGGTACAGAAATATTGCTCACAGGAAACTTTATGGGTGACCTATATTAATGAGAATTTAGGGGACTACTGTGGTACTTATGAAAATATAATATGCTTTGACACCTTAAATGGGCAAGACTTCCAAAGGTTTAAATTCTAGGATATAAACTGAAACAAACTTCTATAACTACTAATAGAAAGAGAAAAGGTCAGTGGATCTAAGAACTCATAATTGATAGTATTTTCTATATAAAACCAACCTCATAGCACAGTAGTAAATGCAAAACCAAAAGTATATGGGTCCACCTAACAAAAATATAAAAGAATTTCATGCGTAATTTAAAAACCATATTAAAGAACACCAAATACCTATACAAATGTAGACATATACCATGTTTACAGGGGGACGCAAACTATCAAGTTGTATAAATGCTATTTTCTTTGAAATAATCTATAATTTAAAACAATACAAACCAAAATATGAAATTATATGATGTATCCCTAAGATTTCCATGGGAAGAGAAATGTCCAGAATGGGCTACAGCAAGTATGAAGAACACACAGAAGAGAAGTCAAGGAAAATGTACTCTAAGAGATACTAAACTAGCCAGTCACTGCACTTCAAATAATAGGGAACTGATATAGACAGACTAAGTAGACTCCAGACAACATTATGATTTTTATAGTGGTATCATCACAAATAAATATGAAAATAGAAGCTCTAGTAAGTTATTTTGGGAAAGTTGATCCACTAAATAAAAGTAGTTGACTACTAATAATATTACTATTTGACTAAATAGGAAAATAGAGTACTATTATTACCTTTCATAAATTGGGTTTTAAAATCAGTTTATTTGAAGATAAAAGCTTTACCTCCAAAAACTTTTCTGACAAGTGCTCTGTGCCCAGTTAAAATGTAGATGTCTTTAAGCAAGAACCTAGTCAGCTGTCATTATCTCAGGAAGTGTTAGTTATCAGATAGCTAAGTCTTGAAATGCAGAGGGTTGGGTGGAGGTGGAAACAGGAGAAATAGATAAGCCAGAGGCATGAAAGTGGGGATGATTAGGTGAGCTTAGGGGATAAAAGAGTTGTAAGTAAGGAGTGTCAAAGACAAATTGGCCTGTTTCATGATTTGGTGTAAGAGGGTCCCTGCTAAGGACACGAGACTTCAGGTTTTCTGGACACGTCAACTGTGTCTTGTTAAACTGCTCAATTTGCGATTCTTCCAGCACCTCTGAGTATATCAGAACAATAGCTCATTTCCTACCTCACTACAAACACATAGATCTCAATTTATAGAGGAAAGATTATACCACCTTGGGAGCCCACTGACAGAGTGGGATACATTGATTTGTTTAAGTTAATATATTTTATTGAGATAATATTGGTTTGCAACATTATGTAAGTTTCAGGTGGACAGCATTATAATTCAACCTCTGTAATACTCTACATCAGGCTGATTTCTGTTTCCATATTTTTACCCTTTCCTGTATTCTCACTCTTTAAAAAAAAGATTTATGTGTATAAGAACTGGGGAACAGGCCAGAGATGCGGGGGTGAGAGGATTCACCAGAGACACGGTGGGGAGAACAGGCAGATCTACTGAAATACACTGCTGAGGGGAGCAGCAGGCAAGACAGGAGAGGTCTGCTGCGCCATGTGGGTTATCTCCCTGGCTGGGGATCGAACTCGTGTTGCAGAGGCTGCTGATAGCTTCACAGTGCTGAGACTTAACCCCTTGCGCCACCAGGAAGGCCACTGTATTCTCATTCTTTGCCACCTAACTGCACATCCTTTCATGGAAAGAGGAATATGCATTTCCATGCCCCTTAATTTTGAGCTTGGCCATGTGACTTGCTTTGGCCAGTGAGTGACAACAACACTGTGCCAGTCTCGAGTTTATCCTTATGAGCAGTTGATGTTCCACTTACCGTCTGCACTTCTGTCACCACCGCTAGAAGACTATTGTCCAGTAGTCGGTTGATCCCAGAAGGTGGAGAGATGTGTGGAGAAGAGTTGGAGCCAGCCTCCAGCCCGAAGCCACCTCGTTAAGTCCAATCAGGGTCCGCAGCTACTGAGCCACGCAGCTACTGTGCAGACAGACATAAGAGAAATAAATGTTTAGAGTTGTAGTCATTGAGATCTTTTGATTGTTTATTCTGTAGCAATAGTGGACTGATACTATAATTAGGAGCTTGAGTTTTCAATCAAGCCCTTCTCTAAAGATTCAGCATTTTCATCTGTATGTATGTAATCATAACAATATCACAATGTTATAGGCTGTAAATAAAGTAGCATATGTAAAATACTATGCAGAATGCCTCACTATTATACTTAAGATACAGTGGTACTTTAGGACTTAGAAATGCAATGGGGAGGCATCCTCAGATTTCAAGGCAGGGGTTAGATGTCAGAATATGGTGGTTAAAAAAAGGCGTTTATGTGTGGGTTCCTATGAGCTGGCTATGAGCTGGCCACTCATGGGCAACTGTGACCTATTTGCTCTCTACAAATGCCAGCAGAGCATTCCTTGCCTACCTAAGGAGTGTAGCCCGTATCACGAGGCAGGCCTGGGGACGCCTAGGCTGCAGCTGACCTGATTACGTGACTCTCTCCATGGTGGTCTCGGGATAACTCTGCTGGTGATGACATCAAATACTTTGCTGACGCAAATGTCGCTTGACGTATGCTCACGCTGTCCTCTTCTCTGTTCCTCGTAAAACTTTGTCCCCCATTCCAATCCTACCCTCTGGACTTTATTCCTCATACCACTGTCACATGATCAGCTTTCACTAGCCTGTGTGCTTTCAATAAATGGCACAAGAACTTCTGCTCAAGTAGCAGAGTCTTGCCCTGCAAACCTGCTTCATGACTGCTGTGTCCTCATGGTGTTCCTGCTGCAAAGCGGCAACAAAGTTCCTGTCACAACATTTATGTTCTGAAACTTGGGGCAGATAAATCTTTTTTCTTTAATGACTGTTAAACGTTATAAAGTTACAGCTTGGGGAGATGAATAATTGGTTTGGAAGTAGTTTTCTTTTAAGGGGAAATAAAAGCATGACTTTCCCTGCATCGCTTGGTGTCTAAAATGCTATTAGTCACATGTCGTAGTTAGCACATCTGACTTGTTTGTGACCAAGAGTTCAGGCGAATAGAATTGAGATTTATTTTGTAATTTTCAACATGCCAATATACACCAGCCTTATTTTGCCCCTTCATTGCCATCAGGTTGGAATAAATTGACTCTTGATGCAAAGTTGTGGCCAGGGTTGAAATTTACATGTGATTGATGGTCAAAGGGCTGACCCCTCCCTCTTATGTATCAACTCCTGGACTGGGACCTGTTTTGTGTAAAATATTGAGACACTCCGTGATCTCTCTGCTCCTCACACGCCCTTGAAAGTGAAGAAAAATAACTGATCACGTTGCTTGATAGAAAAGAACAGAGATAGCTCGTGATGGATAAATGTTTTGCAATGTATTTCTCATTCTTGGGTCTCCAAGTATACAATCTTAATACATTATTTCCCTAACCAATTAGTAAACCAATTGGTTCAACCAGCTTTTAGCACCCAATTCATGTTTTATTGCAGGAATATTTAGAATGGATACAGAATCCCTGGAGTAGAGGTGCCCTCTCCTTAGCGAGGCAATTTCCCTATTTTGAACTTTTATTTCCATGAAGAGAAAGTCCACAGGAGAATGGCAACAAGGCTTCAGGCAGCTTGAAAGGCATTATGGTTGCAGTAAAACCAAAAGTGCAAGACTTATCTTGGTTTGTGTTTGTTTTCACTTTGGAATTTTGCTAATGAAACTAGAAAAAACTGCTTAGACCTCATTCCCCACCTTTGAAACACATACATTTGTGTATGTAGCAAGGGTAGGTCATGATATTCATTTGGAGTTCTCCAAAAGTTGTCCCTGAGATAACTATTCCTGTGCATGTCATTTATGGGGTGCTGACCCCAAGACGCACAGTGAGGGATTCAGAATAGAGGAGGGAAAATGAAAGGTGCATTGGCCAGCCAGTTACTTCTGTGGGAAACCAGCGTTTTACCCTGCTGAGTATGTCTTAGATTGTCCCACCGATGGCCTTGGAAGCTTTTGAAGTATTCATTCCTTTGTACCTGACCCTCTTGGTAGGGAGTGGCTTGTGGGTTAAGTTCCAGGCATTTCCAGCCTGCCCTGCACAAGCAGGACTCATTTGCACAACCAGAGATATACCTCAGTCAGACAGAAAGCACATACTGTACTGTGTAACTGGGATGACCGCTGGGATCAGCAAAGGAAAATGGGCAGAATGGCCAAGAGCATCTGCTACAGGCACTATACCTCTGAGTCATATCCAGTACTGTAACCAAAGTTACCTCAGTAATAATAAAATTAAAAAGAAACAAAAGTTTCACATTTAGATGTGTTCAAGTGTATAATATTTTTCTTTTAAATAATGGATTTATGGAAGGAAATAATTGCAGCGTCCCGGTCTGTTTCCGTAAGGGGCTTATTTCTGAATTAAACTTTGTCCCCGCTGATATGGAAAATACAGTAAATTCTAAGGCAGAAAGCCAGAGTCCTTCCCCCACAGCCAAAACTCATTTTATTTTCAAGAACAAAGATTTAGTAAGGTTTGCTTTCTGTTATTTCTCTGTGCCTCTCTCTTTTCCTCCCGCCCTATTTTCCTTGGCTTCCATGCCTTTAACTTTTTTTTAACTTTAGGGATTGTTGCTAAATCTCACCACAAGATGCCACTGTTTCACCAGCCTAATATCTAAATGCCCTTCTGCAGCCATTTAAAACTGTCTCCTGTGCAGTTGTCTCAGTAACTTATTAAAACATATCCACCAAAATTATAAAAAAAAAAACCTCAGGTAGAGGAAATTATAACATTTCACTTGAATAAGGATCAAATCACAAACAACCTGGTCATCTCCCACAAACCCAGGACCTTGCAATAATCAATTCTCTTATCACGATATACACTGGGCAGATATAAGTCATTATTTACTTCGTTCTATGCTTTTTGGATTTATGAATCCATATTTTAATTCAGCACTTCTCAAATACTACAAGGTACAACCCCCAAATGAATTGTTTCTGGAAAATTCCATTAGAATTTTGATTTAGCTAGCAACGGTGGCACTCTTACGAAACCTGGATGAGGAGCATCTGAGATACCCACTACTAACCCACTTCATAGAGCCACTAAACCTACTGGCAGAGGCTGGACTCCTTAACAACTGTACAAAAGTTTCATTTGAGTTAACCTCTCAGGTTTAGAGTCCCGCCTCATGGAATTTTCATGAAGAATCCATTCTTGAGAGCAGTTTTATTATTGGTTTGCTTGAAATTTTCTTCTCTTTTTAAAAATTAAAGTATATTGATTTACAGTTTGTTTACAAATCTATATAATTTTGGGGGTACAACTTCACACCTCCATATGTGCATACACATCCTTCTTGCATCACCAAAGTTCTAGTGCCATCCAACTATCAAATTGACGACCTCTACCCACTCCTCACACCTCTCCCCCTCTCCCTCTGGTAAACGCTGTATTTTTCAGAGTCTAAGAGTTATTTTGGTTGTGTTTTGACAGTTTGCTTGCTTTGGTTATTTGCAGTCCACATAAGAACAAAACCATCCAGTCTTTTACTTTCTGGCTTATCTCACTTAGCATAATCACTTCGAGTTCAATCCATGTTGTCACAGAAGAATTTGTCTTTTTTTAAAAAAAAAATACCTGTGTAGTTTATTCCATGGAGTATATATACAACAACTTCTTTATCCAATCATTGATGCTGGGCATTAACGTTGGTTCCATGTTTGCCTTTTGTGCAAGGCAAGGAGTGCACTTATATTTTTGAATTAGTATTTTTATATTCTTTAAATACCTAGGAGAAATACTGATGGATCATATGATATTTTCATTTTTATATTTTTAAGGAATCTGTTTTCCATAAAAATGGCATCAATTTACATTCCTACCAGCAGTGAACAAGAGTTCCTTTTAATCCACATCCTCACCAACATTTGTTATTTCTAGTCCTTAATATAAGTCTTCATCACAGCTTTATAACTGCACTTCCCATGCCTATAGGGAAAAAGAGTCTAATTGAAATAGAAAAGTCCCCTAACAGAAACTTATTCTTATAGTTCTGGAAGCCAAAAGTCCAGTCAGTTTCACTGGCTAAAGTCAAGATGTCAAAGGGGATTGTTCCTTGAGGAAGTTAGAGGGGAAAATTCATTCCTTGCCTCTTTCAGATTCTCGAGGCTGTCCACATTGCCTTCTGGTTCCTGGATTCTTGGTCCAGGAAAATATAGAATATATATCTTCAAAGTCAACAGCACAGCTCTCTGGATGGATCTTCACATCACCTTTTCTCTATGAGGACTCTTTTGACTTCATTGGAACCATCCAGATAATTCAGGATTATCATCCCATCCTAAGAATCTTAATTTATTCAAATCTGCAAAGTCTCCAGGTATTTTGAACTGAGAGAGCCATTGTGCAGCTGAGCACAGAAGTGTTATATGTAAAGGCCCCAGCATTGAGGAGGTGCTCAGTAAGTAGGACTATGTTTATGAAGATAGGACATGAGATGTTAATTTAGCAGGGTGGTGCTGCGCCAGTGAATAGCTCAGTGGTAAAATAGTGACATTGTTCATAGTGTGAGTTTTGTTTAAGGACACCAGCATTTAATTTTCAATATCCACTCGGGTAAAAGGTTAATTTATAAGAAAAGTAAGCCACTTAAATCAGTCTTCAAACAGTATGTAGAATAAGTTGTTTATTTCCTCTGTTGAATGATTTTCATTTTCACTTTGCTCTTATAAGAAAAGGAAGTCAGCATATTTTTTCAGATGAACATCTAACTTACTGGTCAGCAAAAATATTGGGTCTTTATGTGTTCTTTTTAAAGGACTCGTCCCTTCTTTAAATCAGGTTGAAAAATTTATGCAGGACACTGGGAGTGTGTCACCTGATTTCACGAGGAAAGATAGTTCATGAAAAGATGGAGAAAACATGAGATGAAGAACGTTTTAATCTCATTATTTTCATTTTATATTTGTCATATCTTGTTGACATTTTCTG